AAGCTGGACTATCAGAGGGGGGGGGGGGTTTGAGGGGTTTGGGGTGGCATCCCAGACCCCTCATAATTCCCCCTTCCGATAGTCTGGCATATCTGATAATCCGGCACCCCCTGGGACCTAAAGGTGCCGGATTATCGGAAGTTTACTGTAGCGTGATTTATGTAACTGAAGTGAAAGTATCCTAGGTCGTTTTACACTGTGTCTACATGACACTAAGTTGATGGGAGATGCTCTCCTGCCGACTTACCTTCGCCTTCTTGGGGAGATGTAGTACAGATGTCGATGGCTGAGGGCTCTGGTATTGATTTAGCTAGTCTTCACCAGACTCACTAAATCAACACAACTGCATTGATCACGGCAATGCCAATTGAGCCAGAACTATACACAAGCCCTGAGACCAGAAGAAAAACTCTGTGTAAGCTTGAAAGCATGTATGTCTTCAACAGAAACTGGTCTAGTAAAAGATATTGCCTCACTCATCTTGTGTCTTCAACTTTTTTCACAGCTCCCTCATATGCAGTTATCTGTTAAAGACAAACAGCCATAGATACGAATTTAATGGAAAGATTTCAGGATTGTGTTTAATGTAGGACCTGATTTTTGTCAGGATATTTTATATGGAATTCCCTTTGGAGTCAGTGAAAGTGGTATGTGAACTGAATATTTGCAGATTGGAGCATGTTTCTCTGCTAAACGTTTGGTAATGGGCAGTTCATAAATAGTACCTGCCTGAAGTACTCTGTTTCATTTTCAAACTAGTTTTTCTCCATATTCCCTTTGGCTAAACAAAGTAAAATTCCTACGCATGCCAGCGGGGGAAGAAAGACAAGATTTCTCTTATGCATCTCTGACTTAATACACAAAAACTAAAACAATAATGGATTCAGTATTAAGAATAATTCCTTGCTCTTTTCTACCCCTAAATGATTTCCAGATGAAATCTTCATCTCTACTTTAAGTGGCTCTCAGTTTGATTTCTGATAACTATAAGAAATAAAAGGTTGTTCATAAACACTTTTTCCTGATCTTTTTAAGTGCTGAACACTCATCACTGCAATTAGTCCTTGGGAGCTGCAGGTGTTGAATATCTCTTGAGAATCCAGCCCTTGAATGCCTAGTGTCCAATAGAGATTGTTTCTTTGATAGAGAGATTCAATAGGATGGGGTAGTAAATAGCCACTGGTACCATTTTTATAGTAAAAGTAGTAAGTAATTATATGATTGTACAGAAATAAGGCCAGTCAATGGCTGTGTAGCTCATAGGTTGCAGCCCTCAGTTTTTCACCTGGAACAGGTAAACAGGTCAGAAACTGCTTAATGGCACAGTTAGGTCCCAAGGATGTTAACAGTTAAGTCTCAGCTGGTATTTAGTCTGAAATTCAAAACATTCTCTACAGAAACAGTAACTAGTGTCTTCTGTCCTGTGGCTCTTATATATTGTATGTAAAGATTTTCAGTTCACATGAGTTTTATTTTGTTTAAATCTTTAGACATATGTTTTTCTTCTAGATGTAATGAAGGACGTATTGGAAAAGAGTGTGAATGTAGCACAGATGAAGTAAATAGTGAAGATATGGATGCTTACTGTAGAAGAGAGAACAGTACAGAAATATGCAGTAACAACGGGGAGTGTATTTGTGGACAATGTGTGTGCAAGAAAAGGGAAAACACCAATGAAGTCTATTCTGGCAAACACTGTGAATGTGATAACTTCAATTGTGATCGATCTAATGGCCAAATTTGTGGAGGTAAGAAATACAGTTCACAGTTATGTAAAACCTTGCAAATATATTACAGGGTAAGGCTGACAAATGTAAACAGAAACTAGGTGACTGAGAGGATATAACAAATGAATACAGAACCATTTGGATCTGGCCTGAGTAGATACTGTCTGAAGCTAGTTACCTAATAATATAATGGCCATCAATCTACAGCCAAAGGTATGATATGTGTTAGTACAAATGCTAACACTTTAGATTAAATATCACCCCCGTGATCAAGGCTCCAGTCTGCGATGTAAAGAGAATTTGACAAAAGCTGTAAAATGCTATAAGAAGTTCAAAAATTAAAAAAATCTCAGAAGGCTAGCCATGTTTGTCTGTAACTTTAAAAACAAGTAATCCTGTGGTACCATAGAGATTTACAAAATATACTTTTGCCCTTTAAAAAGGGACCAGAGTGCATCATATATCTCATAAAGCTGACATTAAGCAAATACCTACAATATGTATTACTATAAAATATATAAATGGCTAGAGGATTTATTCAGTATTGTTTGGGCCCTCAAACTGAAATAATTTTTGGTTTTCTTTGTTTAAATCATTGCTGTATGGTGGAGTTGAGGATGAGGGGTTAGTATGCAGGCTGCACTTGGGAGAGCAGCTCCTGTCATGTGTCACAGCAGAAGCTAGGTGACAGGTGAGAAGTACCTGTCCATGTCTGCTGCAGATGCCGTGGGCACAGCTGGGGACAGGTGCATGTTCCCCAGCTGGGGGACAAACACGCGCTTACAGACAAACTCCCTGAAATATATGGTAGATAGCTGTCCCTTTCTCCACCCCTAGTCCTGTGTAGTTTATAGGTGTCCCAATCCCATCTCTGGCCCCTTGATGCTCCCTCTGTGCTCATTCTGTAGTACAGCTGTCCCTCCTGCCAGCCCCCTCCCTTTCCATTTAATGAGAAGTAATCACATTCCAGGCACATCCCGTTGTCCTTGCACAACCAAACCCTGTGTTGCTTTAAACTGTGATAAAAGGAAGCTACATACCAAATTTGGTGGTCCTAGCTCTTACCATTTAGGAGGAGCTCTTAGAGTCACAGATGGACAGACAGACACAAGCTCTCAAATATATAGTAGTTTAAAAGAGCTGAAATCATCATAAATCAAGTTTATTTGAAAATGTCTAGTGCAATATTTGAGAGAGAATTTTGTGTTGGGACATGGAATAAAAACTATCTAAGAAATGTAGGCTGGATCTGGCAAGGTGGGTGTCGTAAATTCTGAGTCAAGTGTCTTGAGACTCTATTACTATACTAGCTTACTGTTACTTTTAGCAATACAGAATGAGTTGGTAATCTCAGTCAAGATACTAGTGATTATTGTTCACATTGTATAAAGTACAGGTGGCTATTGAGTATCCATCTGAGCGGTCTAAGAGGCCAAGCAGTTAATCAATCATGAAGACAGCTTGACATTTTGTCTAGAGTCATGTGTGGATACAAATATCTGTCCGCAGATAGAAATCTGTATTTGCTGAACCTGCGGGCTCTACTCCCAGAAACTACAGTAGCCAAAGAGAAGAACATGTAGCGCCCTGCACTGCTTACTCCTTCCTGCTATGCTGTCCTCAGCGCCACCCCCAGACCTTCCATACAGTTGTCAGGGTTCTACAGCCCTGCCTGAGGCAGTACAACAGCATGGCTGGGTGGAACTGCCAAAGTAGGGCACTGACTTCTGGAAGTAGCAGCACCACATTCTTTTCCCTGTGACTGCTGTGTTTCTCAAGAGTAGAGCCTTATGGTTTAACATATTCCCGTTTCTATCCATGGACAGACATTTTTCTGCTTGCATGGCTCTACTTTTATCCTGAGACAAAGCTTTTCTAAGGCAAGGAGTTGAGGTGCAAATTGTTGTTTACTGTATGTTTGCATAGTACCTAGTAGAATAGGGCTCCAACCTAATTGAGGCATTTAATTTACTAGCATGATATAAAAGTGAAATTATTATTTGAGAGGTACTAACATTGCCAGTGTGCTGATTAGCCATTGTTGGGAAAGAGCTTTATTTTAGAATGGTCACCATGACTGACCTTTCACCAATCTTTCCAGTTCTTTTGTTGAGGTTTTGTGAAAAGAAAAGAAAAATGTCACTAACTGAAAAGCTCTCAAAGGAGGTGGCAGTGATTAAAAGTGTATTCATAAGTTCTGCTTATTATCTGTTTATCTTTGCATCAGTCAGTTTACATTACTAATCGCCCCTGCTAATAAACATTCAGATTTATGTGTTTTGGTGCCACAAAATGTCCATTCACTAAAATATCTTTTTAACATGCAGGAAATGGTATCTGCAAATGTAGAGTATGTGAGTGTTTCCCCAATTTCACTGGCAGTGCTTGTGACTGCTCTTTGGATACATCTTCATGTATGGCTTCCAATGGGCAAATCTGCAATGGAAGAGGAACCTGTGAGTGTGGAACCTGTAACTGCACAGATGCCAAATTCCAAGGCCCCACATGTGAGATGTGTCAGACCTGCCTTGGTGTGTGTGCAGAGCACAAGTAAGTGTCAATACAATTGAAGCAAGTCTTTCAGATATGCTGTATGTATCTGCGTGTTTTGTATTTACATATTCTCAACATCAGACATGACGCCCTTGATATTTATTCTCATTTCATTCTTGTGATCCAATCTGAAATATAGCCTTTAGTGCGCCAGTTTATAACTGTCTTGAATATATTCTTTAGACTAGATATCATCTGTAATTTATTTTATCTCTCTCATTTTCTAGAGGCTTGTTTTATAATCCCTTAAAAAGGTTATTTTTTTTCTTTTGGGAATCTTTTTTGTTGTGGAATATGCTAGGATATCCAAGCTTCCAGTGTTGTCTTGCATGCTGGGAAACCATCCCAGCCAGTAATGGACACCCAGCAATACCTACTATTAGTGGGAGATACATGTCCCTCAAAAGCAGAGTTAGGAAGATTTTATGGCAAAATAGGAACACAGAAATTATTCTAGGTTTACCATCTTTTTGAGTGCTTTCCATCTGAACACTGAGAGCATCTCCAGTCCATTATTAATGAACATCCACTGCTAGCTAGGACCTTGTTGGATGCAGTTGATGCTGCACCTCATTTTGTTTCTATAGCGGTGCTCATGTGTCTGGCATCCTGGTTCCAGCTTTCTGGGCTTCAAAGGGAGGTTTCATGAATGCTCTTTTAGTCCCCTTAACTCTGGGCACCAAACGCAGGACTAGGGGCAAAGGTAGCCGGAATCATGGTGAATACTAGTCGTGATGTGTGCCTGCCAGACCTCAGCGCTGCTCTGGGGCCATTTGGATGAACAGTGTCATCAATCGCAGTCATACTAGCACCAGTCCCCCTCACACAGGTCCTTGTGGTCTCTTTGGTCTTCAGGTGCTGGACTTGCTTAGACTCTCAGTCCTGCTCAAGGTCCAGGTACTGAGTGGAGAAGGGAAGGCGTTAATCTCCGAGCTCCCATTGCTATTCTGCCTATCCCCAACCTCCTTTGAGGTCCCATGATGCAGACTCACTCTGCTGGGAAAGATCCTAGCAGGCCTGCAGTACTCCCGCTCCTTAATGCCAGGGAATGGGCATGTGACTTCAGAAGCTGGCATGAAATAGAGCTCCCTGCCTCGCCCTTGGCGCTGCATCTCCCAGAGTGGCTAGTACCCTGGTATCCCTGGAACCCATAAAGGTTTAACCAGCCATCTCAGGCTGCCTGGTTGGTTTCTGGGGCATATATATGAGAGGCCTTCAGCCTTGGTATCCCAGCCTCCCAAGCAGGCACAGGTCCCTAAGTAGGAAACTCCCTTAACCCAGGAGGTTCTAGTGGGCCAACTAGTTGCTTTTCAGGAAAGAGGAGGGGGGAGCAGAACTCACAGCACCAGCATCATCCTCATCTTCCCCAGATGAGGGCTCTGCAAGTTCTCCTCACCTGGAGCTGCAAGCCAGTGCAAAAGTCGAACAGGAACTAAGGGTCATTTTTAAACGGGGGCTGCATGCGAAGGAGTTTGAGGAACTAATTAGCAGATGCCCTATTTCCACTGCACCTACTCAGGTAGTTTTTTACCCCTGCTTGAGGGGGTTTTGAAAGTCATGAATGTCCTCTGGCACACTACCTTGTCCTTTCCCCTTCCACCTCCAATTTCAAAAGGATTGAGTGGAAATACTTTGTCCCACAATGGGCCATGAATATTTATAAACACAGCCAGCCCCTAACTTGTTGGCAGTAGAAGAGGTCAACCAGAAAGAAAGGCAGTGGCAACAACAAAGACACTAAGGGACTAAATTTGTTTGGGAGAAAAATGCATTAGTCTTCCAGCCCCCGTTGCAGGTAGAAAATCAGCAAGCTCTCCATGGCTGTGATGATTTTAATATGTGGCAAACCATGACCAAGCTTGAGGGATCACTTCCTGAAGATTCCAGGAAGGAGGGCATGGCAGCCAGTAGGACAGCACTCCAGGCAGCCACAAACATGGTAGACTCCACAACACACATGATGATGACATCAGTCATATCTATGTTGAGGGTTCTGGTTGCTTGTCTCTGGCCTGTCAACGTACATGCAGCAATCAGTGCAAGACCTTCCTTTTGATGGCAACACTTTGTGGAGCAAATCGACACTAAATTACATGGGCTTAAGGATTCCCACACTATCCTAAAGATCTTGGGGTTATATGCCCTTTGCCTGGGCTGGCCTGGAAAAGGTTCCAGCCTCAACACAGTCTGTGTTAGAGGAACCAATATTTTTTAGGAGCAGCCTACCAAGAATAGATGGGGCTACATGTGTCAACTGACAACACCCTCAGCCCAGTCAGGCGTGAACCACTCCACGTACAAAGCTAAAAAATCATATTTAGGGAGCCCTCGAGGGCGAGATACCAGATTTCCTGATGGATCCAGTTTCTCCCCCCTTTAGCAAGCATCTCCCCCATTTCCTCTTGGCTTGGTCTGCCATCATATCATACTGCTGAATCCTGGACAGTTTCATGGGGTTATGCCCTCTCATTCCTCTCCACACACACTCCTCTCAGCCCCTTTTCAGGGACCTTTCTCATGAGAATCTTCACATGCAGGAGGTCCAGGAGCTACTATAGCTAGGAGTAATAGAGGAATTTCTATCTAAGTATTGGAATAGGAAGATCTATTTCCAATGTTTCTTAAACCTGAAGGCCAAGGGAGGTCTTTGGTCCACCCTACGCCTGCAAAACCTTAACAAGTACCTAAAGAGGCTCAAATTCCATATGGTGTCCTTTCCCTCATTTATTCCTTTCTTGGAGCTGGGAGACTGGTATGCCATCCTTGACCTGTAGGTTGTGGCAGTCTTTCCAGGTCCCAAATGTTTTCTCCATTTTACAATGGTCCCCCCACTGCTAGTCTGCAGTCCTTACGTTTGACCTGGCTTACAGCTCTGAAGGTCTGTACCAAATGCATGGTGGAAGTTACAGCCTGCAATCTTCCTATCACAGGTTGACACAGCTTTTAATTGCTGTGACTGATAGGATGAAGGGCCTTCTGGTTTTGTCAGAAGGAATTTCCAGTTGGGTTACCTCTTGCATATGGACCTGCTGTGACAGTGGTGGGGAACCTGTGACCCACAGGTCTGATCTGACCCCGCAGGGCAAGAATATGAGGGAACCCCCCAGGAGGGGGGGGGGGGAGAGAGAGAGAGAGAGAGACTTTTTTTGTTTGCATTGTGTGTTTCTTGGGGACCAGGCCAGTGAGGGGTTGGGTTGGTTTGTTTCTCAGAGGGAGGGGGTTTTACTCAAAGTACTTTTGATCCCAAAGAAGAATGAGGGATAGAGATTGATTCTAGATTTAAGATTGCTAAATAACTTTTGTGAAAACACAAAAATTCAGAATAGTGACTCTCTCAGATGTAATTCCATTGTACTCTCATGTCACAATTTGTCCTCACAAAAGATTCCTTTAATTTCTAGTAGGTCTGCCCAAGAACTTTGCATCAGCCTCTTAGAGTTGAGAGCAGTCAGAAATGTCTGTGTTCACTTCTTTCCATTGGTCAGCAATAAATCTATAAAATTAATGACCGCCATTACATTCTGCACGTTCAACATCAGCCAGCAGGGTGGGTGGATAAGATCACTTTCCCTTTGTGATAAACCAGTAAAGCTGTAGAACTAGTATATAGACAGCCACATCCTCTTTTCAGTTGATTACCTTCCAGTCCTGTAAAACATGGATGATCTCAGTAAGCACTTCTTCCAAGATTATGAATGGGAGATGCACTCATTAACGCTCAGTCAACCTGGAGATTTCCAGAAAAGGACCTCTTCGCTGCCATCACCACCACCAGAAAATGCAAACAATTTTGTTTGACAGAAGGGTTGTTCTCCCTCCAGGAGATGCTTTTCTTGTTCTGTGGCTTAGGGGCCTTTTTTATGCATTCTCTCCATTGTTTTGGATATTGATGCTGATAAGCAAGACAGTCAAGATAAAAGGGCATTGTACTTTCTTACCCGTATTATGTTAATTTAGATAGAACTAGAAGGTTTACCTAGCATTGCTTGGGTCCTTAATCAAATTTTGTTTTTCTTCATTTAAATCATTCTTCTGAGGTGGGGCTGAGGTTGAGAAGTTCAGTATGCAAACTGCCTTAGGTAAAGAGTACAATCCCAGCCCTCTCCCACCGCAGCAGCTTGGGACCAGGTGAGAAGTGCCTGTCCATGGCAGCTGCAGCAAGCACAGCTTGGAGACAGATGGACACATAGACAGACAAACTCTCTGAATTATATAGTAGCTTGTTTCTTAAACTGTGTTCCGCGGAACACACAGGTGTGCCACGGCCATTTGAAGAAAAAAAAAATGGCCGTGAGAGCTGCTGAGACGCAGCAGGTGGTGTGAAGAGGTGAGTAAGTAGTGATGCGGCTGGAAATGAGGCGGAGCTACCCACATACCTTCTCTTGTGCTTCCACGTGAAGGGCAGAAGAGGCGAGCAAGTGATGACGAGACAGAAATGAGGCAGGGTTACAAGCATTCCTCACGTGCTTTTGCGCCTGGCTTGCAACCACCTGGGAAAGCTCCGCATCTCGGTTGCGCCCTTTGCCCAGAGGGGAGAAGTGTGTCAGGGCCAGCAGCAGGGCCGGCTTTGCTGCTGCTCTGGGGATCCTGCCTGCCAGCGGAGAGACCTGCCCTAAAGCTGCCACCCCGACCAGGTCTTTGCACTGCTGTCTTTAGCCCTCACTTGTTACCCAGCACAGCTGAGGGAAGCCAGCACCTTCCACCCTCTTGCACAGACAAGGCCCTTCCCTTCAGTATTCTGTGTCAAAAATAACAGAGCCAGGGGCTAGAACTATTGAAGGATAAAACATTAAGCAGTAAGGGGCCCACTGTGAATTGGGGGGCAAGGTAAGGCCCTCAGTGCCCCTAATGCTGGCATGGCTGCTATGGATGCTGTCAGTCAGCTGCTTAACATTAACCCATGCTTGATAAGGTATTGAATTTATAATTTCCACCAGTATGAGTAAACAGAGTAAATTACATTTCCCTATCAAAAAGAAATCAAAAAGAAATCTAGAAGGCTTCACAGGGCAGTGAGCGAATATTGTCAGTAAAAGTGTAAAAGGGACCAGCTTTTCCCATTGTCCTGGAATCAAATCCTTTCCTTGCTTTAAGTTCTAATAAGAGGAAATTTGGTGGTTCTAGCTCTTATAGTTGAGGAGGAGTTCTTAAATGGACTCGCAGATGGATGGACAGATAGATGCACATTTCTAAAATATATATTAAGATATATGAGCCATAACCCAGTTACTGGCCTACATGAAACATCATGAAGGTTTGGCATTTAGGGTAGAGAGACTGCAGCCTGCTTAGTACCATTCCAAAATCTTTAAAAACGTTTATTGAAGATACAGAAGAGAGAGAAAAACAGTTGAAGTATTTTAAATGTAAACTGTTAAATATTGATTTAATTTTAACAACATCCTTTGATTCCTTTCCCTTTTGATGGAAACAAGTTTTAAAAGAAGAAACATCTTGTTTGTCAGTCTTTTAGATGATATCAAAAGGATAATAACTACCCTTTTTTGAGGGGGGGAAAAAGAAGAAAAATAGTTAAGATCATTTTTTGCTTGATCATTTTTTGCTGTTTTCTTAAAATAGATATTTTTTCCCTATGTAATCTGAACACACACAAAATGAAATATAAAAGAATAGCAAAGATAGAAAATGTAGTTTTTGTCTCTGGTGTTGTGTCTTAGGCTTGCCTACACTACTCAGCTTTCAGCAACATGGCAATGTCACTACAGCCATGTTGCTAAAAGTGAGGGAGTTTAGCACTGCTGCCGACAAAGCACAGTTTATACCGATGCTGCTTGTCAGAAAAACTGTTGTCTTTTTGGAAGGTGTCATTTTAACACTGATGAATGACAAATGTTTTGTTGTTCAATTGCCAGGATAGACATAGTCTCACTTGTAATTTCACTGAGGGAGAAACACCAACACAGCAAACGGGTTTACCAGTACTCTGAGACCTAGAAAACTCTACCAGCGTCAGGCTGTTTATGGCATTGCTTTTAGTTTCCTCTTTATGGCACAAAGTTTACAGCAATGTTGCAAAATATAGTCTTGGTCAGACTTCTGTTAGAGAGAAGTAAAAAGGAGAGTAATAAAAAAGACAAGAAATGAGGAGAGGAAGGAAAATACATCTCTTTGGGGGAGGGAAGGGAAATGAGTCTCGCATACCAGGTGGTATATTTGCCACCTTTGCCAACAGATTTTTCAATGAGATGGAAATTAATATACAGTAAAACTCCATTGGTCCGGCATCCAATGCGTCGGCACTCCTGATGGTCTGGCACCATCAGGAACCCGGAAGTGCTGGGGCAGCCGGACAATTGGAGCTGCTCTGCGCACGGCTTCCCCAATTCAGCCGCTACTGAAACTGACCAGCAGCTGAATCGGAGAAGCCAGGGGCAGAGCAGCTGGGGTGCTGCTGGGTTGGTCCCATAGCACCGCCCCTCGGCGCTGCGGGACCAACATGGCAGCACTCCAGCTGCTCTGCTCCAGGTGTCCCCAAGAGCAGAGGGGGTGCTGCTGGGTTGGTCCCATAGCACCGCCCCTCGGCGCTGCGGGACCAACATGGCAGCACTCCAGCTGCTCTGCTCCAGGTGTCCCCAAGAGCAGAGGGGGTGCTGCTGGGTTGGTCCCACAGCCCCGAGGGGCGGTGCTATGGGACCAACCCAGCAGCGCCCCAGCTGCTCTGCCCCAGGTGTCCCCGAGTCAGCGGCTGACTCCGGGAAGCCCGGGGCAGAGCCGGACTATCGGAAGGGGGAGCTATGAAGGGTCTGGGGTGGCATCTCCCCCACCCCATCCCAGACCCCTCATAGCCCCCCCTTCTGATAGTCCGGCATATCTGATAATCCGGCACCCCCTGGGTCCTAAAGGCGCCGGATTATCGGAAGTTTACTGTACTAGAAATTTCCCTTTTATGAACATATTTAAAAGTGGTGTTTCTAATTTGTATTTCAACAGGGATTGTGTTCAATGCAGAGCTTTCAAAAAGGGAGACAAGAAAGACTCATGTTCTCAGGAGTGTATGCATTTCAACATGACACTAGTGGAAAGTCGGGACAAGTTACCACAGCCTGGCCAGCCTGATCCACTGTCTCACTGTAAAGAGAAGGATGTTGATGACTGCTGGTTCTATTTCACATACTCTGTCAATGCAAACAATGAAGCAATTGTTCACGTGGTACAAATGCCAGGTACAAACTTCTTATTGTATGTTTTTTTCACCTTTGTGACTATCTTTGTAGTGTTCCCTCTGTATTCAACATAATTGCATTAGCTGACCCTTCTGAACCTTCACACCATATCCAGAAGTAATATCCCCACTCCCTGCTCTGAAACTAGGACTACTTGAGACTGGTATTTCTGTGTCTCAGATATTGACACTGTTTTTATAGATTTGTACATTGACTGAAATTGATTTGTTCACATCACTTGCCTTATATATGTTGTATTTAAAGATTTTTTTCTTCCTATTGACATAGTTTAATCTTATTTCAACAATGTCCTCTAATCAAGTCCACAGTGTACTGATACAGATCTTTCTGGAAAATATTTTTCTCCCTCTTTCTTGCAAACAGTCCGTTAGGTACTTGGAAGCTGTTATGTCCCCTCTGTCTTCATTTAAAAAAACCCAGTTTTTTTCAATCTTCCCTCATAGGTCAGGTCATATTTTCTAGACCTTTAATCATTGTTGCTCCTCTTTGGACCTTCTCTAATTTGTCCACATCTTTCCTCAAACATGGTGCTCAGAACTGGACACAGTACTCCAGTTGATGCCTAAACTGTGCATAGTAGAGCAGAACAATTGTTTCCCGAATCTTGCTTACAACACTTCTGTTAATACTTCCCAGATTGAGGTTTTCTTTTCTTTTTCCTTTTTTTTTCTTGTAAAAGAGTTACACTGTTAACTTATATTTAGCTTGTGATGTGGTCTACTGTGGCTCCCTAGATCCCTTTCTGCAGTACTCCTTCCTAAGTAGGCATTTCCCATTAATTTAAAACTAAACAGTCACTTAGCATGTTTGATTTTAAAAATAAGTTTGCGAGTGACGTGTTTCTATTGAACACATCATTTGTCATGAAATGGAGGAGAGACCACACACTGCTTAAAGCTGTTACTATAAATGATCTGACCAGGACACTTGGTCAGATGGTGGTGAACAAAATCCTTCCTAAGTAGGCATTTCCCATTAATTTAAAACTAAACAGTCACTTAGCATGTTTGATTTTAAAAATAAGTTTGCGAGTGACGTGTTTCTATTGAACACATCATTTGTCATGAAATGGAGGAGAGACCACACACTGCTTAAAGCTGTTACTATAAATGATCTGACCAGGACACTTGGTCAGATGGTGGTGAACAAAAGGG